TGTAGACCTCCCCATGGTCAAAGAAGCCATGTGGCGAAGTGGGAAGTAGCTTTGTGGGAAGTGGGAAGTAGCTTCCTACATAGTGGGAAGTAGCTTTGTGTTAATGCAAAGACCGCATAATGTTATGCTTTACATTTCAGTTGCTTTTGATGTAGAAAGAAATACTTGGCTTTAAGACAAAAGCAAGCTATGCAGTTTGTATCTGTGCTATTGAATTCCAGCGAATCTTTTTTTTAAATTCTTTTTTAGCCACAACTTGTGGATATTTTTGTGCTGTTAAGACTTGTACGATAATCATCCACTATTTCTTTCTGACTGCAAGTTCTTCACACTTAATTTTTTAAGGAGAAAGATGGCTAAGCAATGAGGATGAAACTAGTTTCCGCCTAATTCAGCTGTTTTAGAAACTACAAGTCCTGACTACACAAGTCTTCAGTCTTTCTCCAGCCTCCCCCATACTGTTGTTTCAGACAAAAAAGTAAAAGTTGTAGCGGGCTGTTTTAGGGCAGTATGCTTGATTTGTTAGTGTCTTTTTTTTTTTTTTTTTTTTTGTTGGGGGGTTTCTCTTTAATAGGTATGGAATTCTGTTGGTATCATTCGCTGTTACAATGATGAACAAGACAATGCTATAGATATAGAATTTCATGATACCTCCATACATCATGCAACACACCTGCCAAACTCTCTGAATCACACGATGGCTGACCTCTCTACCGAAGCTATTTTACTAGCCTGTGAAAGTACAGAGGAACTTGCAAGGTAAGTCATGGCCTTGCTCTGCAAAACCCATAGTATGGAATTACACTTGTCTTGTTTCAAATATTTCAGCTTTTAATTTCAGCTTCTATCACTTTTTGAGATTTTTGGCTTTTGATCATGCTTTTTATTTACGGGACGACTTTCGAGGAGGATTTTCACATCCACCCACTTGAAGACTTCAGGAATATTGAAAGATGTATTTTGTTGCCTCAGGATTTTTTTTTAATCCCTTTTTCAAATATGTATATACTGGGAACTTCATGCATTGCTAGCTCAAAGGAAATTGTAAACATGAACAATAGTTTTTCAGTCTGCTCAGATCAAAGATAAATCATAAGGGCTGTGCTATTTCTTTTCACACTGTTGCTAAGGAGACATGTTTGGAGGTACCCGAAGAATTACAAGTGTGAAGAACACAAGTTTATGAAAACCACAGGAAGATTTAAGCAGCTGGGCCAGCTAGACTCTGTTCTTGCATTTAAGAACAATAGCAACAATATTTTATTGCCAGTTTCTGTGGAAATAACTTGAAGAAAGAACTTTCATTTTCACACATACAGCATTGTGATAAGTTGAAAAGCACCCTTTACCTTTAAAAGTATTATTTGTATGTATTGGTTGTCTGACTCTGAAAATTTCAATTTCTTTTCTCAGTGGAAGTGGATAATCTATCAAAAGCCACGGTGTCTGTGGGTTGGTCACAGGCAGTTTTCAGTTACTAAGGTAGCAGAACTGAAGTTCCTAATTTTTTTTCCCTTTGATAGATAGCATAATATGACAGACTTGTAATGAGGGCTGATGGGGGTACCGAGCACCTTCAGTTCTTATTAATGTTAATTAAGCAGGACATTTCCATCTAAAAAATCTCCCCTCAGACCTCTAAACTGTCTCTGCTTCAGGCTTTAGAGGCTCTAAATCTACAGTGCTGGAGGTCGAGCTGGCTGTTCAGTTCTTGAATAGTAAGAGTAACACCTTTGCAAATGACCACTTGTGACTTGTAGTTCCTTTCTATGACCATCACAGATTCCAGGTCTCTGATAAAAACTAATATATTGGTATATTTTCAGATATTGTCTTTTTCTTCATGTTGAGATATTTGACTATTGTTCTTTGTCTCTGCTTTAGCAAGCTCCACTGCATTCATTTTAACTCATGGGATGCAAACAAGGAGTGGACAGTAGATATGCCGAAGGATGAAGACATTGAGGCTATCTGTCTAGGTCAAGGCTGGGCTGCTTGTGCCACTAGTGCCTTGCTAATTCGTGTGTTTACAGTTGGAGGAGTTCAGAAAGAGATCTTCAGTCTCCCAGGTCCAGTGGTGTCTATGGCAGGACATGGAGAGCAGTTGATGATTATTTATCACAGAGGTAGTTTTCTCCCTTCTGTCTTTTTTGAACTAGGATTTATGTTTTTCAATCCTTGTCTGTTACTGGCTTCAAACGGCAGTTAATTTGTATGTAATCACCAGAAGTATTTTACCTATCCTCCTTCTTTTCTTCTTGATGATGCTTATCCTTCTTCTCTTCTTGATGATGCTTTTACTGTCACAACCCACGGATCTTTGACATCTGACAGCAAAGCCTACATTTTATATTGGGATGCCTAGATTAACCTGTGGGGAAGGGGAGAGTTTTATAACAGTGACATTAATAAACTTGGGTTTCAGATATGCCAGAATGAATTACTGTAGGAAATTAAGGAAGTAGTTGTTATGCATGCTTTTTATGTCCAAAATGACAAATAGTTGCTTGTCTGACAGTGGTATTCATGGATAACCCTGCATTAGACTAGTTTTTGATTCAAAACTTAAATTTAGTCAAGAGACAAGACAATTTTTTTGTTTTCTAACATAGTAATTGAACATCATCTTCTTAGGTACTGGGTTTGATGGGGACCAATGCCTCGGAGTACAGCTGATGGAGCTAGGAAAAAAGAAACAAATTTTGCATGGAGACCCTCTTTCTCTTACAAAGAAATCCTATTTGATATGGGTTGGATTCTCTGCAGAAGGTATGAAATACCTGCATGAGTGACTTTGAGAAATCTTGACACTATTGGGGGAATTTTGGAGGAGAGTTTGGCTAATTAATGCCCTTTTAGTAATGGTGATCTTGAGACTTGGACTTTTTCCTCAATCTCCTTAATGCTAAACAAAATTCTATTTTTCTGTTCTTTCAATATATTTATCAGAAATCTTTAATATGTTTCCACTATGAATAGAATACACTTGAATGTTATCAGAACGTGTTTTCCCGATTGATTGCCCTGCTCAGCAAAAAGAAAGAAACTGCATTAGTACACCATAATAGGCATGTACAACTATTTAGGCAAAAGCCTCCCCAAAAAAGTTGGTAGCTTGGGAGGAGTTTTTGTGATAACCAGAAAAAGTAATTGAAAAACAACTAATTTTCTTTGGGAATCTACCCAAGTAGTAGGAGTTTGATTTCTTCATAAAATATTTTAAATTTGAACTTGTCAGTTAACTAGCAGTAGTGTTGACTGTCAGAAGGTGGCGCATCTTTCTAAGGAAACTAGTTTTTCTCAGCTAGGTTGTACTGTTTGGGTGAGAGGATATCGTATTTGACATATGTAAACCATCGTTTCCCAGCACTATCCAGCAGTTCAAACTTACTCGTGTTGTAATTAGTTGCCTGTCAAAATAATTGTTTTCATTTGTAACAAACAGGTACCCCTTGTTACGTGGATTCTGAGGGAATTGTGCGGATGTTGAACCGAGGACTTGGGAATACTTGGATTCCAGTGTGTAACATGAGAGAGCATTGCAAAGGAAGATCTGATCATTACTGGGTAGTTGGCATCCATGAAAATCCCCAGCAGCTCAGGTCAGATATTTCACAAGGAAGTGCTTTGTTTGTCTTGGTTTTAAATTACAGAGCACGTCTTACTAAGAGAAACTGGAAGCAACTTTTACTAAAACATGGTGGCTAGTAAATATGCACAGTAAATGTTCTCGTTCATGAATGTAATTCTGCATGGATGTTTCATTACTAAATTGGTTTTGAGTAAACTCATTAGAGTTTTATAATTTGTAACTGACTAATTGTGGCTTTTTGCCTTGGCTAACAGGTGTGTGCACTTTATTATGAAATCATACACACCTCTGAGGCAGACACATTCATAAAACTGCATTTTGCTAGAGAAACCTACTAAAAAGTTATGGTTGCCATTAGGAGTCTGCTTCTGCTGTTGGTGGTTTTTGGGGGTTTGAGGTTTTCTTGGGGGAGTTTGTTTTGGTGTTTTTTTTTATTTGCTTAGCTATGTTTTCCCCTTTTGTCCCTTTGAGAAGAATCCAATCCTGTAACTAATCCACACCATTAGGCATAGATAAGTCAGAACTGTCTATTACTGTATTAATATTTGAACTGTGGCCATGAAGAACAACTTTGTATGTGAAATTGCTCAAATATTTAGCTGAGAGTTAGCCATTACTTTATAAAATGTGATACTGGTGATGTCTAAATAACTCTGTTTCTCGTTATTATAACACTCATCCTGGACATTTAGTTGCCAAGCTTTGTTTGTAGTCCTCTTTATTCAGTGGTCTGTGTCCTTTTCCTACCAGGGCAGAATCCATCAGCTCACATATTTTACTGAAATTGAGGCTCTTTTACTTTGCTAGTCATGCACAGTTGTAGAGATTGGTGGGAAACTGCATTTTATTTAAATTTCTGTGACATTCTTTGTAATCCTCTGTCTTTTTTAATAATTTGATATCGCTGGTAAATGTCAATTCACTGTTTTTCTTCCTCCAAATTATTAAGTAATATTGGCCTCCAGAAAATTCACCAAAAATGTGCAGGACACATCACATTGATGGGATGGTCAACTGTGAGTTTGTCACCATGAGTTTTTTCCTTCTGTTCCAAGAAAGTGTGTGCTACTCTCCGAGTTCCAAAGAACATTTTATTCAAAGCCACTAGCATATTAAAGATAAGGAGGGGGGAGAGTTGTTGTAGAAATACCATATGCCTTAATTGACACAGATAGCCAGAACACTAATGCTTCCTGTTCTTTTTTTTCTAGTGTCTGAAACAGTAGCTTATAAAACAGTAGCTTATAAAAAGCATGTTTGTCAATGCTGCATTGGTGCTACTGGAAATACAGCTCTTCCCCAATCAATGCTTAAGTGATTGTTACCAGAAAGTACTAGTTTAAATATAATGAAACAAAAAGCCTACGCTTTTAGTATATGCTTATCTGTTTCACCCCTCTCTTTTTTCTCCCCCTCCCCTGTGTCTGAACACAGCACTCTCCTCGTGAAGTCCAAAAGCCCTCATCAAAATTAATGATAGACGTGCCTGCTCTTGTTCGAGTGGCCTTCAGTTGTTCTCTAATTTCTGATTTTAATAAATTGCAATTACATTTTGTAATAGCTGTTAAATTGTGTATTGTGTGAGATAACAGACTCAGATCTCTGTGCCACATTTGGAGTTTCTGGTATGAACAAGAACAGCATGTGCTTTGCTGGTTTTAAAATCTTTTATTGGTTGCAATGTAAAAATAACCCTTTATAATGCAATCTTACATATTGCTATATTTAAGTCAGTAATTTAATTACTACTTTTTAAAGAACAAATCCTCTTAAAGTATCTTGCTTCTTAGGAGACATGATTTAAATGTAGAACAACTGGTGACTGCAGGTGATAAGGATTGCATGTGGTTTTTGTTTCCCTTGCACAGGTGTATTCCTTGTAAAGGAGCCCGATTCCCTCCTACACTCCCACGGCCTGCTGTAGCAATATTATCTTTTAAACTTCCTTACTGTCAAGTTACAACAGAAAAGGGACAGATGGAGGTATGGAATGGTGTTGAGTCCACAGCTGATAGTCTCAGATGTCCCTATAGTAGGGATTATACAAGATTCCTATTAATCATCTCTACTATGAAAGAGGGTAGTACAAACTCTGAGTAAGGCATGTGGCTAAGGAGGTTATTTGGGTTCAGTGTTTTGTATAGCTTTTCTGGTTTGGTTTGGTTCACAACTGCTTCTAGAAGAATACAAAATAAAGCTATTAGAGCTGATGCAAGGTTATATTTACACATAATCTATTTCTGACCAATGAAGTCTTTCTATCCCTCTCTTTTTTATTTTTTAGTGGGTAGTGATTAATGTTCTAGGAAGCACCACATTTTGGGATCCAAATCAAGACCCTCTTGAGGGTGCCTGTTTTTTTAATATTTTAGGCATAACAAAATTTCTGGAAGATCTTTTTTTGAAAGATCTACTAAGTCCTCCAATTCATATAATAACTCTGAAAACATAGGCCTTCAGGCTTGACTTATTTTCTTAAAGTAGAGGTGGTTGAAGCAAGATGTACCTGTGGAGAACTTCTAGAAAAATATCTGTATTTTTTCTTTAATTTTTTATAGGTTTAAATATTTCAATCTTGTGGGGTTCAGCTGTAGTGCACAAAATAGCAATGAACATAAAATTCTAACCTCAACCTTAGAGACAGTTTAATGCTATTTGAAATTTATTCTCTTTGATAGAAGTGTAGATAAAAAGTTTCAATAATAAATACTTTGTCATTTTTAATGAATTCTCCTTCATTCAGTTCAAGTCTCTTAGCTCTTTATTTAATGGGGTATGTCTTCCACACACCCCCCCAAAATAATAGAAGGGAAATGCCAGGAACTGTTAATTTAGCTTGAGGGAATATGTACTTCTGTGTAGGTAAAGAAACAGATTATTCCAATATATCTGATGAAAACATCCTGGTTTTGAGTAAGTTTATAATTATTTTGTAACAGCTATCCTGGTCTAATAGCCATACTAGTATTTCCCCGAACAACAAGAGTTATATTGTCTGTTTACCTACTTGCAGATGATGATTACTTCTACAATTACTAAGTATTCTGGAATACTTCCAATTTGCTGTAGGACAGAAGTTATAAGATAAACTAATCAACTTGTTCTAGAATTGTCTGTTCTGGTAGCATACTGGTGAACA